AAAAAAAAATAAAAAAAGGGAAAAAGAAAAAAAAAAAACACAGAAAAAAAAAGACTTTTCAGGACTTTTTAAGTGCTGCAAAGGGCGAAGGGGGAGCAGGAGGAGCCGGAGCCCCAGCTCCACAAAGGCCTTTTTTTGGAGGTAACCACATGCCCAGATCTGTCCAGCCTTTCTTTATGGCATGTGGTGAAGCCGGTGCCAAAAATAGAAAACTGGGAAAGAAAAGGGAGAGGGAAACATTGCCTCTATTTAATTTTTCCTCCCTTTGCCTTGTCCTCCCCTCCCTGTCTCGGGGGACGGAGGCGGGAGACTCCCGGGCACCCCAAGCCCGGTGTGGTCCGGAGCCTCTGGATCCTCCCAAACCCCCCTTGTTTCCAAGTGCTTAAAAAGTCGCCTTTATTTAACAAAAAAACCCCCAATAACTCATTTATCCGTCGCGGGGAGGCCTCGCGGGTCCCTCCGCGCTCCTCATTTCCTTCTCTCTGGTCTATTCTTATAATTATTATTATTATTATTGTTATTATTATTATTATTATTATTTGCCAAACTCTGATCTCGTTGCCAAACGCCAGTCCAGGTTTGTACAGACTGTCCTTAGGAAGTGGTCGGTGTCTGTGCCGTAGGCTCCTCATCCGTCTGCGATTCCCGGGTTTTTCCTCCCTCGTGTGCCATAGCCCGATTTCTCGCACAGTGTTTAATATTTCGTGGAATTGTTGTTCCGAAGTGAATGGATAACACAATAAAAAGGCTCACTTTGCATTTTGCCAGGTTTCCTCTCCGGCTTGTCCTGCGCCCGGCACTGGGTGGGGGGGATCGGGTGGGATTGGGAATTCCGGATCCTCGGGGATCAGGGGCCCTCTGTGATTGCAGCCCCTCAAGGACTGGAACCCCTTGGGGATCCCCTTCCCTGCCCTTTGGGATCCTTTGGGAGCTGCTCCCACTCCCCTGGTGCTCCCCATCCCTGGTGGCTCCTGCCCATCCCAAGCATCACCGGGCATCTCCCGCTTCCCAGAAAGCAGCGGAGCCTTCCCAGCCCGCGGAGCCCCAGGAAAGCGAAACCCAGAGCAGCGATCCTTCCCTTTTCGGAGAAAAAGGATCTCGGCCTGCCCCGGCTTCCTGCCCCGCTTCCCAGCAGCTCCAGGCTTGGAGCGGGTCCTGCGGGAATCTGCTGCTGCTGCCGGAGCCGCGTGCCGGGAATAGCTGGGATGTTTCGCTGTCTGACCCAAACGCCGGCTGGGAAGGGCGGGATGGGCAGCGGGACGGGCACTGGGACAGGGGACAGGGACAGGGACAGGCAGAGGGACAAACGGCAGGACGGAGGTCCCGTGCCGGTGTCCCACAAGCAGCTGGGGACGAGGAGGGGGTCCCTGCCCCCACCGCGCCACAAATGCCCAAACTCTCCCCAAATTAAACAACCAGGACACGCCGGGAGCGGCTCCTTTCCCGGGAATCCGCTTCCAAGCGCCGGAGCTGGCACAGGGCGGCGGTGCCACCAGACCGTGTGCCAATGCGGAGCGACACCGGCCGGGTGG